TACATAAAAATACAAAACTATATATTCGTAACAGAATTTTGTATTTCTCGAAAGAAGAAGAAGACTTGGATCGTGAAGGTTTGTGACTTAAAATATGGGTCCCCAGAAAAAAAGGTTGGGAAACACTGACCTAAAGCATGTTAAAGCATGACCCCTAGCACTCACCTGTTTTGCTATTGCCCCCCCCCCCCCATTCTCCCATATGGGATAGTGCTACCAACATCAGGAAATAATTGTCTATCATTTCTTGAACAAACACAAGCAACTAGCAAACTCTACTTCTATACTTTTTCTCCCTCTAAGACCCCCCTCCTCGGTGGAATGTTGGCAAAATGAACAGTGAAAATCTGCAGATCTGTCCAGGAAGAAAAGTGCACTTATATGTTCAGAGAGAGAGAGAAGCTGGGAGACACCACAGTCTCACTCGCACTTGGTGTCGACGCAGACTTACTGATGCATTTCCCCTCATAGGCCACTCCGATAGATCTGCCCAGGAGACACGTCGCTCTCCTCAGGTGGCAGGCGCTGGCGTAGGTGATCCCGTCGTTGCCACACAGGTACTGCTCAGGTGACGTCACCTCGGGGCAAATCCGATTACACGTCACACAGTATGCGTTGTTAGTCTGGTCTACCACGCATGTGGAGCTGCCTGGGCACAGGACGTCACGGCACGTTTCTGTCCCGACGAGACAATTGGAAGAAAAAATCGAACCGAATCGTGTCTAAAGAAAAAGTTTTAACATGCATATTTTGAAATTAGGGTTACTTACTCTTGCATTTTCCTTGGTACTGCACATCAAGGTCGGGCTGACCTTTACATTTAGCCTTCAGCAATGCGCATTCGTCGTTGTAGGTCTTCCCGTCTGAGCCGCAGACCGGTCCTTTCCAGGTGATGTTGGAACAGTCTGGTGCGCACACACAGCGCGGCTTACTCCGTCTGTTTATCTTGCACCTCTTCCCGGGTCCACAGTCAACATTATCGCACGTTTCTAATGAAATAAAAAACTCAGTTACACGGTGCCCGTGCGTAAAATGCGCTTTACACGTTCAGCTTTTCTGTGCGTAAATCACATCAGGTCTATTGAACCGAATGAGTGGTATTTATTGTGTGTGGGGAAAAAACGAAGGGAAATAAGTGCACCTCCACCTTTGCAAGGTATG